AGTTGGCAAATCTGAGGGTATTTTCTTCGGACGTGACGCAGCCTTTGTGACAGCCCAGGAAAAGATTAGCAGAACATGGCCTGCTTTGTTCGCTCTTTTTAAAGGTGGCCATTCACGATCGCTCCAAGCAGTCCAAACGGAGCGACGCCGTTCCAAAAACCACGTCAATGACAAAACTGAACTGGCGTGCCCGGCTGTGCCGAATATTCGACCGGTCCAAACTCCATCGCGCCACTCCAAATATCTACGGCGCGACGACGGCATGGCGCGTTCGTTAATGGGAAAATCTGGCGTGGAGGGTGGTGATTTTGGCGCGCTGGCCTGGTCGTGAATCGGAAAACCCTCGTTTTTTTGGCGCAGTCTCCGTCTTTCTGTCACTGAGCAAACATCGCCGGCGTATATTCTCAAAAAGTCAAAAACGTTTATTCTTTGTTGGTAATGACATCCAATCGAGATTTTATTGTTGAGGTGATTGGATTGTATGAAAATTTACCATGTTTAGGAAAGTAGTGGACAATGATTATATTACCACGATAGAAATAAAAGAAATTCGATCCTCAACCAGTTGGTCGACGTTTTCAAAGCAAAGGTTACAAATGCAATGAGAGATGCGGTATTGGTAACCCCTAACAATGATCAGAAATCGTAGTCGAGAACTTAAGTTCTTTGTAGTTCATCCCTGTAGCGAGAAATCGTAATGTGATTGCCAACCTTTCATGTAGTGATGATTTCTCTCATGACTGTCTTTTGTTTTCTAATCAAGGGGGTAACAAGCTGGAGTAAATATAAATAAGGAGGATCGAAGTCACGATAGCTCAAGTGGTAGAGCAGCGGCGTATTTAAGGTGGCCATTCACGATCACTCCAAATGGAACCGCGCCAAGCCGTACAGCTCCATTTGGAGTGCCTGAAATTTGAGGGGCATTCACGACCGCTCCACAGCCAGTCGCTCCGAACGTCAACCAGTGAATTACCTTCTCAAAATGGATGACGATCTCCTGCGCTACTCTTCTGTTTATTTATATATTAAAAGCAAAAAATCGTAGAGAAAATGGTGTAAGAAGTGGCTCCTGAACAGAAGCTGTAATACCCACATCAATTTGATGAAAGAACTTTCCCTTGAAACCGCTGATTAGAGGAACTATTTAAGGATGGATGAAACGTCTTATTTATTCATTATATTTAGTTTTCTATTGACCAAATTACTTCTTTCAATTATTTAATCTTTTTTGTAAGGTTTTGGTTGAAATGAAAAAGCTAGTGCCACGAGCGGGATCTGAATCCATGCCCATGAATGCATGGAAATACGCCGCTGCTCTACCATTAGAGCTGTCGTGAATTCGATCCTCTCCGACACCAAAAAATGGCAAAAAGAGAGAAAATTCGATAGGTTGTAGGTTGAGATGGGGAGTTGGTGCCCGAGTGGATCGAACTATCGAAGTCAGGATAGCTCAAGTGGTTAGCGCAGCGGCGTATTTAGCCGAATGTCGTGGATCCAAATCCCCTCGAGACACTATTTTTTCATTTCAACCAAAACCTTACAAAAAAAAGATTAACGTCTTATTTATATTTACACCAGCTTGTTATCTCCTTTATTAGAAAACAAAAGACAGTAAAGAGAGAAATCATCACTACATGAAAGGTTGGCAACCTCATTACNTTTTTACATCGTGGAATGACATTTTGGTTCCCTCAAACTATGCCAATCGGGTCAGACTGTGTTAAAACAGAGAATGTTCGTGCTGAAATTGCGCTATTTTCGAACTGAAATGCATAACACGGTTTGGAGATCATGGGTGTTATTTAAACCACCAAATTTCTTATAAAAGGACAGTAGTTTTTTATCCTAGTATTAAGGGAATTTATACGTACTTTCATTATTCTGATAGTTCTGTGAAAGTCGAGCATTTTTACAAGAAAAATTTGCTAAAGGTTGTCACACGCGACACGTATGTGGTTGGCTCCCTAGGGACATCGTGGTAAGTGATGTAGGGAAAAGGCGGTACAAGCCACGTGTATGCGATCCGGCACATAAGTCGGATCTGTCTCAGAATCAGAAACACAGAAACACGATAGTTTCGAAAAGAGCAAGTACGATCATAAAATATTATTATTTCTGTTTCTTTTGTGATTGGGAAGATTAACAAAAGTGTGGTGATGGTATGGGAATTTAGGATATTCAATGTAAATAGCTTTTAAAATATTATTAATAAAACTCTCCTAGCAAGATAGCTTTTAGTTCTCTTTTTGTTTACTTTCCATTTTTCTTTGTTCGAGGAGCTCATCTTACTCCGCACACTGTCAAACATGAATTACATACTATGAAGGATTTATTTTTTTAAAATGATTTTCATTAATATCAGATGTATTATTACGTTTAAAGTGTAATATCTTATTTTATTCGTTCTATTTGGTTTAAAGAACTGCACCCGCTGGTAAGTGCTCCTTACAAAGTGCAAAAATGATATCAATATGAATGTAAAATTTAGGAAAAGCTTGTTAAACTTTTTTTAATCAGATACCACAACAAAGATGTACAAATGAAGTGTTTCAGATAGAGAAGATTAGAAGGCGTTGGGGAAAAATATAATTACTGAATAGTACAATAGCTAATATTTACATACGACAGGAAAAATACCTTATCCCGCAGGTCGTTCCCAGCAAAAGGAATTGTAGCCCTATCGTTCAATAACACCCGGCCGCAGTAAACCCCTTAACAACCCTTATTTCAAGGACTTGAGGATCGCCAAGCTGAAGGCGTAATCTCGTCCGATTTCCAAACACTCAGACATAATAAAAACACTTTTAGCCAGTGCATAAACTCTTGCAAATATTCAACGATTTCCTATGATGAAAAATCAGAAAATATACGAATTTTATTTTTTATGGTTATAAATGAATTTCATACCGATTCCCAGTATAATGAAATTTCATAAATCGTATTCATTCATATTATTAATTCAGATCAGGAGAAAAATGTCGGCAAATTGGTTCAAATAGTTAAAAATTCTCAGTAATTAATTAACCAGCTCGTTCTCGAATGAACCTGAACATAAATCATTATGTTTAAAGCCATTATTTTCACATCACAACAGATGAACAGTAATAGAGGATAAAATATAAAGGACCATTATTATAATATAATGCAGGCCGGTTTACGACTACGTAATATAACGACAGTGATCATGTGTAAAAACGGGATGCCGATGAGTCAGTACGGCTTGTATTCTGCACTGTAAACTCGCTGTACCCTGCCTTCGACCAATTTCCCTGTTGGCGTTAACTTATCGGTTCCTTTAGAATTTAAATGAGATGAAAACTTTGAAAAAGCCTTTTTGTGTAAAGAATCACTTCTCAACTTTTCAAAAAAACTTAACTTTAGACTATAAATGCAATTAACTTTTGAAGATCTGTACAGCATTCAAACAAAATGAATCTATTTACTTCACATGATAGTTTCCAAAGAACAGAGATTCTTTAGTAATATGAAGTTCACAATGCCTCATTATAATCGTCCAGTGTGTGTATTTATCCTTATTATCATTTATTTTCGTTTATCTTTAATTTTATTTGTATAATTGCTTTATGTGATTTTCTTTTATCTATCCTAATATTTTACTCTACTTTTTTAATTTAGGTTTCTTTTTGTCTGTCTCTCTCTCACTCTCAACTTTTTAATTTCTGTCTTTTTTTCTCTCTCCATCTCACTGTTTCTCTCTTAAACTTTGTTTCTTTTTATCTCTATTTTTCGCTCTCTATCTCTCTCTCAATCTTTTACTTACCTCTCTATTTTACTTTCATTTTAATTTGCATGTTGATCTCTCTCTTTCTTTATCTCTATTTTTCTATTTGATTCTCATTTACGCTCTACGTTCTCATCTCTATTGTCTCTCTCTGCCTCTCTCTTTTGCTCTCTTTTTTTCTCTTGCTCTTTTCTTCTTTTCTTTATTTTACTCTTTCTTTCTGCTTTATTTTACTCTGCCCTTCTTTTTTCTCTTTCTCTCTCCTACACACTCTCTTCCTCTCTTTCTCTTTCCTTCATTATCTTTAACTTTCACTTTCGTATTCAGTTAGATTTGTTTGTATTTCTGTCTTAAGCACATGTAACATTTTCAATATTTCTCTATCTCTCCCTCTCTCTATCTATCTCTATCTATTCCTCTCTCTCTTTTCTCTCTCTTACTTCCAACTGTCGCTCTCTTTCTATAGCTCTATTTTTCTAATTTTTTTTCTTTGCTTTAATCTTCACGTCTTTCAGTATTTCCCTCATCCAACTCTTTCTGTATTTTCTATCTCCTCTATCCATCTATCTCTATTTTCGTTTATCTTGTTGTCTTACACGCATAAATTTCATTACAGAATAATGTAATGTGCTTATAATTGTTGAATAATTAACTATGTTAAAATTGTGTGGTGATTAGTGACCGTTAATTGATAATTATTCAAAAATCGTGAGATGCGGTCTGGTGTGATGTAGGTTTCAGAAATACTTTGATTGAATATAAAAAATATATTTTGCATTGTATAAATTCATTTTTCCACATCCGAAATGTATTTGTTAAATGTAAACAATGTGATGATCTCAATAAAGATCGAAACGTTGGCACGATAAAGAAATCGTTTTTCTGAAACCTACATCACACCAGACCGCATCTCACGATTTCTGAATAATTATGATGAAATTGTTATAAGATCCAGAAGAAAGTGGAATTTATTGAAAACAGATTTTTTTTAAAGTGCCCAAATACATTTAAACTACCGGAAAGGAAAAGCACACGCGTTATATATTTTTATGTGTGTTTAGAAATTTGTATGAAAAGTTGATTGATTAATTAACAGATGTTTTTTTATGTTGGCTGAAGGTTTTGTTTAAACAAGATTCTGCAAATATCTTAGGATCAAGAGTCATACTTAAAAACAATATGCAATGTTTATTCTCTTTCTTTTATAAATTTGCCATTATAATACGATAAAATAAGCAATAATATATCATCAGCTTACCGTGGACACTTGGGTAGGTGAGACGCTTAGGTCATCCATCTTGCCGCATTTTCTTTCTCCCTGAAACAATCACAGAAATATGAACAATGTAATTAACGTCGATCTAAACAGAAAATATTTGTAATTTTTTATTTATAAAGCCATCGTACTGCAATTTTTTTATATATGATTTTTATGTTTGCCATGTCAAATTTTTCTTATGATTGATGTCGGGGTGGTCCATCAAAGCACAATTGATGTATGTATTCAGTCGCTATGCTCTCGTGGTACATTGTTATTTAAATAACGCATTAACAGGCGCGACTCGTGCTCACTCTCATTTTCTCTCTTTTCCTCTTGACTTAATTCGAAGGTGTTGTCTGTTTATTCACTTCCTATAATTCCAAATATGGACAATAATTGTGCTGTATACACCGCCTGGCTATAATTGACGTTCATTGAATATTTTATGTATTCTTCATTATGATTTTTGTTAATCATTGCTCGCATTTTAATTGTGACATCGTTTTGATCATAGCGGGTTTGGATTCCGGTTATTTAAATTGTAAATTTAAGAGCTAGGATTTTGAAGAGTCACATAGAACTCTAAGGGTCTTCTGAGGATCATCAATGATAGGCAAAAATAGTCAATTATCTAACATGACTTAGATCAAATGACTAACGTTTCTAGACGTACATTTTCCAAGGCTGAAGATACTTTTACGGTTTGGACGACATAGAAATCAATATGAATTTAAACCGATGTTTCGACATTTTGAGTTATTTGCCCCACGAAAGGTTAAAAAACAATACATATTTAAAAATCATGCAAAAAGTTGTTTTACCTCTTTAAACGAAAATATTCTTTTTCGAAGTATTCTTTAAAAATATGAAATTATTTCTGATCCAATGGAGAAATCCGTCAAAATAAATTAATATTTCCGCCAAATACCAAGCGAAAGAAAACGGGGCGCTGGCGGGAAAAAATTGCTTGCATTTTTCTTTTAACATCACAAAACCGCGTTTTCTTTTCATCCTTCTTGATTCATTGGGCGTTGATTAAAAACATAAATAATATAGGAAACAATGAGTTAAAATTCAATGAACATCCATGTAACAAAAATACCTTTAATCGATGAGAAATCGTTATTGCTTTAATACTAATTATTTTCCGTATTAAATATTATAATTCCAATTAAAAATATTAACCAGACAAATGCGCCCAGAAATATTCCTGAAAGGCGATTCCGAATTTGCATAAGATATTCCATTGTCACCCACTTATTTTTCGGCATGAAACATTCATTTATTTGTTAATATTTCGTACAGTGTTGTTTATTATTATGTGTGGTGATTAGTGACCGTTAATCGATATTTATTTAGAAATCGTGATGAGTGACCGCATCTCACGATTTCTAAATAAATGTTTATTATTATATTCATTCAGATTATCAGGTTGTAGCCATTTAAAGTTTTGATAATTTATTCTAATTATCCAACAAAGATCTTTCTCTATGTGTTTTATTCCGCGATTCTGTCACTCTCTCGCTCTCCATTTCTATCTAACTATATTACAAATGTATCTCCATCTGTATGTCAATCTATTTTTTTTCTTAAACCATCTGTCTAACCTATCTCTCATTCTTTCTCACTCCTCCTTTTTATACATATTTCTTAATTGATGTATCTTATTTTCTTATTACCTTTCTATATTTTACATCTGTATAAGTCTGTGACACTTTTCCATTGTCCCTTTCAGCCATCACTCTTTCTATTCCTCATTATGTGCACTCTCTCTCTCTCTCTCCCTCCNCTCTTCCACAACTTGATCTTTGTCTTTCGGTCGCTGTGTTTCCCTATCTTTCTCTTTGTCCTTATGTTCCTCTGTCTTTTTTGGTATCCTTATCTTTGTTTTTCCGTTCTCTATCCCTCTATCTAACGTTTACACGCACGCAATACCCTACAATACCCTATTCTCTCTCTCTCTCTCTCTCTCTCTCTGGATCTTTGTCTTTTTATCTTCTCTTTCTCAACTTGATCTTTGTCTTTCGGTCTCTGTGTTTCTCTATCTCTTTGAACTTACGTTCCTCTGTCTTTTTTGGTATCCTTATCTTTGTTTTTCCGTTCTCTCTCCCTCTAACTTTTACACGCACGCAATACCCTATTCTCTTCTTTTTCTATCTCTCTCTCTCACTCACTTTCTCCATCTTTTTTCCTCCCTCTTCTTCTTGTTCTATCTCTCGTGCCGAGCGTTCTTAACCTGATTATTCTTTACCCATTAAATTTATACCTTTTGTTCCAAAAACATTGCCATTGTTTAAGTACTGTCATATCACAAATTGGTTTATAAGGTTTATGCCTTATGCCTAGCCAATAATATTGTGGTCATTCAAAAAAAAAAAAAAAAAAAACAATTCTTGTCATGAATTTCTGTTTCAATTCGACGTAAATATCCCTCCGAAACTCGTTTACCGATTTTTTAATAATGATAAAAAGGTGGACGTGTGTGTCGTTCAGCGGAGGGTGAAAGAAAAGCAATTCATTTTTAGCGATTATTATACAAAAGCATTCTTGCAAGTGACATGCTTTCTCGTTGTATGAAGATCAACCGTCACTGTTCACAAATGCCACTGTCTGTATAAATTTTCCGCCAAGTGGTTAAAAAACTAATCTATCCTTTAAGAAAAGGAAATTGAAATTCTGATTTTTTTCAGCTTAGATGTTTCGTTGTTGCAGTCAAAATAAAATGGATGAGCACGTTTTATTTTTCATGGATAAGTAAATAAAGTGTAAGTGGATTAGGATAAGTGTAATTTTTCTATGCCATTCTTTTTTGTTTATTTAGACGATAATTTCAATTTTAATTCAAATGCTTTTTTTACACTTTTAATATTAATGGAACATAAATGGATTATACAACTATTTTTAGTCTTTTTTTAAAAAAGATTGTTCGTACTCACTGTCCTAAGATCCGGATTTCGAGCCCTTAGCGCATCATCAGGTTGAAGGATTTCTACAACCACGTCTCTCGACGTGAATTGCAAAAGTGAACCCGCCGAAAACCCCGCCAACGCGATGTTCCAAATCACTCAGTAGTGACACTCCAATGCATGCCACGTGCTATCTATTCGGACGTAATCAACCCGCTTTGAGAACTTTCAGCAAGTAAGGCTTAGGAATGCAGTTCTATTCGAGGATTTTGTTTATTAATGAGAGAAGATTAGAATTTGTTATACCTTCCATGGCTTGACAAACAAAAGTTTGGAAGTACCTGGTCCCTAGGACGGAGTTATAACGATAGGTTAGGTAGACAAAAACACACTCATGACCGGGGTATTTTGTGTGAGAAGGTTTGCTGATTGACATCGTACAAAGAAGGATTTGAAAAGTTCAAATGGTAGAGGTGTGTTGTGCGCCAGGTATATCAGGACGTCGGATCAACTTATATAGTGGTAATGTGAGTATCGAGATCTTCTGAGAGGTTGTGGATACATAGTTAAACGGTTAAAACAGGGGCGAGCTGGCTGGTTTTCAACGGAAAGGTGTATTGATCATATGATCAGCTCTAAGTACTAACGAAAGAGTAGAAGTAAAGAGAGAAGAAATTGGCATGTAATGAAGAACTAAATATAGTTTATATTATATTATTTGTAATAATTTTTATATTATTATTTATATGATTTATATAGTCAAGCAGTGGCGTGTTCTTCAGATTGCAGGTATGAACAGCAATACCTCGCGAAAGAAGAAGGACTGCATAAAATCAAACTTCCAGCAAGGGAAGTGTAAGCATGCTCAAATTACCGAAGGATATCAGTAAACTGTAGTCACAGAAGATTGCATACTTAATCCTGTGCAAAGATGAGGCCAGTTTCGGAGCTGGTAGGTCACTGATAATATATTCACCGTGAAAATTCTCATGGAAAAAGCAGAAGAACTGGTATGTGGTCAAGAACTAAATATGTGCTGTTTTTGTAGATCAGAAGTGATTACGATTCCCAACACCTGGTCAAGCATTGATCATATTTCAGTTTGAAAATGCTCATAGAGAACAACTGGCTCTTCATCGAGATCAAAATTTTGTGAGTACATATAAAAGTGCATCCAACGTCCGGTCAAACAATAGGATATATTTTACAATTAATTAAGGTTTTCGGTTGAGATGAAAAAAAATTAATGGCCCGAGAGGTGGGGTTGAGATGGGGAGTTGATGTCCGAGTGGATCGAGGTCACGATAGCTCAGGTGGTAGAGCAGCGGCGTATCTAGCCGAAGGTCGTGGGTTCGAATCCCTNGTAAACAATGTTTGTAAATCCCAGGTCCTGAAGATGATCTCAATAAAGATCGAAACGTTGGCACGATAAAGAAAATGTTTTTCTGAAACCTACATCACAGCAGACCGCATCTCACGATTTTCGAATTATTGTAATATAGTAAGATAATAGTTACATGGTATATTGGTCATAATAGCCACATAGTTAAAGGTTGATTTGAGTTCGAGTTAAAAGGAACAATAAGTTAAGAAACTTTCTGTTCTCAAACTGCTCATCATGAAAAAACTAACATACATGACAGAGAACATAAATTTGTCCATGTGAATCATAGAGACGACGGGTATTTAATGAACGCAATTATATAAAGTTAGACCGTGGAACCAACGAAAGTTTTACTGTCCATGAAATGAAGTCCCTTAACAATGATGTAGTTTTTGGCCCTTCTGCGTTAATGAGAATCTGAAGGAAACATGGAAATTTGGTATCGTTCGTGCTCGTGGCTGAACGAACAGGAAAGGAGTTTGGAGGATTTCGTGTTTCAGTTTTAATCATTTCAGATACTATTATCTACACGGCTATAATTTGTACCTTCTGCAACTATTCAGAAATCGTGAGATGCGGTCTGGTGTGATAGGTTTCAGAAAAACATTTTCTTTATCGTGCCAACGTTTCGATCTTTATTGAGATCATCTTCAGGGCCTGGGATTTACAAACATTGTTTAAATTTAACAAATATATGTAGGATGTGGAAAATAGTGAATTTATACAATTCAAAAAATATATTTTTTTATATTCAATCAAGGTATTTCTACTCACTCAAAGTGTTTGTCTTCTGTGTAATTGTGCCATTGTTGCGTGTCGTGTTGAGAGTGCCAGTGAGATTTTGCTGTTTTTTGTTTATATATGTTGGATTTTGAAGGGGTGGGGAATGAAGTCGGTATAGTATATTCGGTATTGTATACATTCACTTTTCAACATCCTAAATGTATGTGTTAAATGTAAACAATGTTTGTAAATCCCAGGCCCTGAAGGTGATCTCAATAAAGATCGAAACGTCGGCACGATAAAGAAAATGTTTTTCTGAAACCTACATCACACCAGACCGCATCTCACGATTTCTGAATAATTATCGATTAACTGTCACTAATCACCACACATTTCTACCTTCTGCAACGTTTAGTTCTAGACAAAAAGAGATTCCAGATCGTCTCCAAATTGGACGACTCGACTAGGTCTCTGAGCAATGAGTCAACCAAAAATGACTGAAAAAAGAAAGCTTTATGACGATGGCTTCGAAATGTTCTGAACAAATTGTAAATATAGATATTTTCAACTTCAATAAGCTTATTTCCTATCACAAACTTAATTTATTATTAAATTAAAGAAGGGACAATTCAAAAGGTGGGGTTGAGATGGGAAGTTAGTGTCCGAGTGAATCGAGGTCACGATGGGTCAAGTGGTAGAGCAGCGGCGTATCTAGGCGAAGATCGTGGGTTCGAATCCCGCTCGTGCCATTAACTTTTTTATCTCAACTAAAAACTTTAATTAATTATAATTAATTTATTATATTTATTTGTTATGCCTGTTTGGAGTTAAAAACATTAAATAAATTATGCAAACACATCAAAGGAGTCGAAATTGAAAATTGTGTTTTTTCATTACTGATTTGATGCATTATAACATAATTCAGAATTTGATGTATTGATCCTGTTTGGATCGTGTATTTCCTTCAGAGTTGTATTACCGTCCGGAGCTTTGTAGTGGAAGATAAAGACATTCCTCGAATTGGTGAAAATCCTCGGAACGCAACTTATTCTGCATTTCTTGTTTTGGTTCAAATTGGCGTGCCTTTTTACAACGCTAAATTATTAAATTGTATATTCGGTCTTTTCATGGTTTTTTCGGGTTGACACTTCTTAACTACTTTTGTTGGATTATTTGTGTAAAAACAAAGTAATTGTAAAAGAGTTACCGGCTTTTGTGAATGTTATGTAGTTATTAGTCAAGGGACGAGTTTTCGGCCAACAATAGTTCGTTATTTCGACAATGTTTCGATTTAAGTAGCAAGGGAGATGTTTTATGCATTACTGCCATCCACTTTCACTTTTCTCAATTGCAATTTTACTTCATAGACTTAAAAATTATCTCCTGGACGAGAAAATTCACAATAATATTTTATTTTTATGCAAGTAGAATTAGCTCCTCTCGGTCTTTACTTACCGTCTTTAAAAAAATATAAAATAAAAGTTATACGGCTTTCTCGTCGTAACTTGTAAAACTGATGAGGCGTTTTTATTAATTAAGGATTTTGTAAGAAGTTTCCAAGGAAATGGCTAAGCAACTAATTTTTCCCTAAGAGAGTGAATCGAAGCAAAACGAAGTAGCCCCACGCCAAGGGTATCTGTTGAAAAGTTCAATAAGAAATTACGGTTTATTATTAGAGGAAAGAGGGCCCTCCAAGTACCTTGATCAAAATATAATTATCACTTTTAATGAGTAGATACCTCTTTTCTTTCATGTTCACCGCTGTGTCCGACTAGGTTATTTCTAAGAATGATTTTTGTAAATTCTAAAACGTATATCCCCGGTTATCAGTTCAGAACTGTTCCTCTTTCGGTTCGAGTA